ACCAATGATCACTTTCTAACAGATAACAGAATTTGCTTATTTAGTAAGTATATCACTCATTATTTGTCTTACCCTGCTAGAATGTAAATAGCACACAGGCAGGAGTCTTTCTGTTTTGATCATCAGTGTAGTCCAAGAACCTAAAATAGTGCATGATAACAATTACTTTAATGGTTAAAGGCAAAGATGAGATTAACAGGGCAGGGTCTGAAGGGTTTGGAGGGGAGGGCAGAGGGTGGCCATCCGAGGCTTGGTTAACACTTGTGCCTTATCTCGCAGCAGGCTGTGTGAGGATCTGACTGTGAGAGTAATATGCACAAGTGGGAGAGCTGGGCTCCTTCTTGAAATGGGGAAATTTGGTTGGCAAAAGCACCAGACTGAATTGACTCCTAAGCCTGGCGGTGGACTTGCCTTTAGGCTGGAATTTCATATCTCTGTAAGCAAAGTATACCATGAGATAGTAATACAAAGGGATGTGCAGGGGTAAGGGTGAGGAGGTTGAAAATGGGGGTAGAATGGGAAATTGGCTGCCTTCAAGGTAAGGGGATGGTGGCTTAAAGAAAGCAGAGTAGGCATGTCACTTCTAAGTCTGGAAAAAAGATTGAGGTGGAATTATGGGGCTGAATGGGAGACTTGAGTACAAAAGGGAGGAGGAAACAGAGTTACCAGAGGTAGTCATTTCCACCAAGGCCCAAGGACTGCACCAAAAGTACAAGGAACTGGAGTTTGACATTAAGAAAGACCTTTCAGCCACAAAACAGGTGGTAGAGGGATGGTGTAGAGCCTTAGTCTCCTGGCAGCCAGGCTAACAAGGACAGCTCTGTGGGTCTGTGCAGCTCTGGGGCAAGAGTGTGAGGGACTGGAGTGTGGGGAGGGTTCTTGCTTGAGCTTGGTTCCTGAGCCCAGCCTCTCACCTGCAGGCTTCTGCCCGCTCTCTTCCCTGACCTTTCTGCACCTTATAAGATGGGCAGGAACAATGGAGAGTATCTAGTTCTCTCCAGGGCCCCACCAGTCTGGGTGTGTCCCCTCACCACCTCACCCCAAAACACCAGTGCTCAATGCAGCTCTCTGGTGGTATCAGAATATTAACCAGGAGAAGCAGAAAATGTCTTTTTGGCTACTGGGGTTATAATGGAGAGGGGACTTGGGTGGCCTAGAGTCCTGAAGTTGTGAGGGACACTCACTTGTCATTGTATAACTTTTGGTGGCTTTTGAGTTTTGAACCACATTCATTTATTTCTTACTCAAAAATATTAAAACCAGACAAAGGCAATAAGAATAACAAGAAGCTGGGTGTTTTGGCTCACGCCTGTAATCTTAGCTACTTGGGAGGCAGAGATGTGAGGATCCATTGTTTGAGGCAAGCCTGGGCCCAAAACTAGCAAGACCCCAACTCTACCAATAAAAGCTGGGCATGTTGGTACATACCTGACATCCTAGCTACGTAGGAAGTGTAAATAGGAGAATTGGAACTCAGGCAGGCCCAGGCATAAATGGGAGACCCTATTCAAAAAATAACTAAAGCAAAAGGCACTTGAGGCCTGGGCGCATGCCTGAAGTGGTAGAGTACCAAGCAGGAGGCCCTGAGTTCAAACCCATGTAACACCATCACCAAAAAGAAACCAAAACAGACAAACAAAAAAACAAATTAAAAATAACAGCAAAGAATAGATCTCAGGGGGTGGGAACTTAATGCTTCCAATTGTTACCCTGAGGACAATGACTTGGCTTTTCTTGCCTATGCATACCTGCTCCCTCCTCCAGGATGTCCATCCTTTAAGAGGCTTAGAGAGGGGCATGGATGGCCTGATGTCACACAGCATTTAAGGCCAGCAAAGGTCTGGAGGTTGGAGGTTCAGACTCTCAGTGCTGGCTTTTTCTTTTGGTCTTCAATGGCTTGCTCTGCCTATTGACTGCTTCAGGATATTTGCAGAACTGTGTATAATGCTAAAAATCAGCCATGTTCCATGACCTTTTTTTTTTTTTTTTTTTTGCAGTGCTGGGGCTTGAACTCAGGGCCTACACCTTGAGCCACTCCACCAGGCCCGTTCTATGATGGATTTTTTTCAAGATAGTCTTGAGAACTACTTGCCTGGACTGGCTTCAAATCTACATCCTCCTGATCTCTGCTTCCTGAGTAACAAGGATTACAAGTGTGAGCCACCGGCGCTCAGCTAGGTGCCTAGTCTTAAAGACCATCTTTCCAGGGAGTTATCTCTTTATGGAGCTCTCTCTGCACCCCTGTGTGGTGTCTGATAGTTATTTCTACCCTTCCTGCCTTCCTCCTTTCCAATACCCTCCACCACCAAATTGGGTCTCCACTGAAACTTGGCCTTGTCCCAAACAAAACATATGACCTTGAACAAGTCATTTAACTTTCCTGTGCCTCTGTTTCTTCATCTATAATTGAGGATTCTGACTTTCCTCCCAAGGCTTTTCATTCATTCATTGTACAAGCATGTATTCTGTGCCAGGCACAGAACTTGGTACTGAGGATCCCATGAGACTCTGTATGTGAAGTTGGTTCAGACACACGGAAAGTGATTGCCAAGGCCTCCTTCCTTGGAAGCTCCTTCTGGGCTGGGTGCCCAAACCCCCTCACCTGGCATGACCTTTGAAGAACTGCTTTGCAGTCTATTCTCATCCTATCTACTTGTAGTGCTGTTCCTGGGGCGAAGCCAACACCCTGCTTTGGATAAAGTGTCAAGGGCTGCAGAAACAGCCTGCAGGAGGAATGACACTCAAATTATATTAGCTGGCTCTTTAGTTTGGGGCTTGAAGAACATCCACATCTCTTGCCTTCTGGGGGCCCGTTCCTGGGAGTTGGGACAGGAACAAGGGGATAGGAAAAAGAAGCTGCTCTTGTCCCAGCTCTGATCATTTTTCATCTTTCCTGAGTCCCATGTCTCCTTGGGAGTTTGGCACAGAGACTAAGATGCTGGGATTGGACACTCACATTTCCCTCTCTGCAATGTAACAGGGCTCTCACCACTTCCTTTGCCTGGACTGGCCTTGAACTTTCCATCCTTCTGTCTCTGCCTCCTGAGTAGCTGGTATTACAGGCATGAACCAGCATGCATGGCTGAAAGATCCCCTTCATTTTTTTTCTCCTTTTTTTTAGAGGTACTGGGATTTGAACTCAGGGCCTTGTATTTGCTAGGCAAGTGTGCTATCACTTGAGCCACACTCCCGGTTGCTGATGGGTCCATTTTTTAAGACAACCATCACTACCTGCAGGAGGCAGGAGCTTGTTTCAGTCAGAGGAAAGAGATGGTTCCAGAGCTCTTGGCAGGAGGCTGCCTGACCATTGAAAACTAGATGAGCATCCCTGGGGCGGGGGTGGGGGTAGGGAGCATTTGTAGAAAACTGTGCTGCCCCAGTCCTGATTATGACACATCCCAAGTCAAGGTGCTGAAGATGGGCCATGGCATCAAGGGAGGATCCAATTTAGACATAGGAGGCACTTCCTGATTGTCAAGGAATGGGTTTAAGGAAAGAGATGGTAGAGGGCTAGGTGGAATGACTCAGGCATGGTGTCCCCCAGAGGAAGGAGGGAAGATGAGATGATTTGGGAGTTGCAAAGGATTCAGAGGCTTAAATCATACTGCAGAGCTGCTGAAGACTCGGGAGGAAGCCAGGTCATCTATTGTAGAGCACAAACCCCATGGAGAAGGACCAGGTGTTGGGAGCCCCTGACCTGCCCAACACAATGCCCCACACAGAGCTGTCTAGAGAACCTGACCAAAGAGGACAAGTCCTTCCAAGGAAATGGTACCAACTCCATGCTTCGGGAAGGAAAGCTGCTTTTAAGCCCCAGCAAAAAACGGTTCCAGGTTGTGGGACCTGGAAGGTCTTAGACCTCAGTCCTCAGCTTGATTTGATCTCATGGAATCTGAGAGGGAGTTCTGTTCCATCCTACAAGACAAGCTGAGCAGGAATGGCCTTGCTCTCCGGCCTGGCCTATTGCCTGTGGGAGGGAACAAACTGGGCAAACCCTCAAGTATCTCTCAGCTCTTGGGGAGTCCTGTGGGAAGAGAGGAGGGGTTCTCCCACGGAATAATCACACTCCATGAGATACAAGTGCAATAGCAGAGAACAAGAAGTGTTCTGTGGCTAGGAGAGGAGGCTTCAGGGAGGGAGGCCCTGGTGGCTGGGAGTGAGGAAGCTTCTCTAGATGTTCAGACCCTTCCCCCACTAGGCAAGATGGCAGCTTCTGGAGGGAGGAACTGATCCTGCAGCATTTCAGCAGCCCCAAGATCCAGCCCAGAGCAGATGCTCAAAACACATGGCTGGAAGGAATACACGAGCCTCTGGGCCAAGAGCTAGCTCAGGCAGCAGCTGGAGTGAGTCTGTGGATGAGGGATTCCCCTGTCTGGCCCCAGTTTCTTCATCTGTAAAATGAGAGGGTGGCAGTAGATTATCTGTAAGGTATTTTGCCATCCCTAACAATCTGTGGCTTAAAAAATTTTTTGCGGGGGGACAGGGTCTTGCTATGTAGTCCAGGCTGGCCTTGATCTCTCCACTTTCCTGCCTCAGCCTCCCAACTGCTGGGATTACAGGTGTGCACCCCCACACCTGGCTATAGTAGTTTCTATTTCCCTTCCTTCTCATCTGTTCCTTTCCGATTCTCTCTTCCCTTTAAATTTTCTTTTTCTCCCTTTTAAATCCTCTCCCTCTTAATCTCCAGCCTCTGCAACTTCCCAGCCACAGGCTACAGGTGTTTCTTCTCTTTCTCCTTCTGAAGATCCCTCCCGTCACTACCTGACCCCTCCCTGGAGCCTTCTGTGTTCTGGGTCCCTTCCTCTCATTCTGGGACCCCCTTCGTCAACCTTAGACCCCAGAGGAGGAAGGCTGGGAGGAGAGGAAGGGAAAAGGGAGGAGAAGAAGGGTCCTGAGGCAGCCTCTACCCTGCCCCAGTGTTGCCCCGCCCGCGCTCAGCGCGGCTAGTCCACCTCTCCTCGCAGCCGGTGCCTGCCGCACTGCGCCCTCGCCCCGCGCTAATGCGATCTGGAGAGACCCGGACGGGCGGCGGGCAGTCTGGCCCGAGCGTCCCAGGCGGCGCTGATGGATGGTCCCCTGACAGTAATCGCAGAATGAGGACGCGCTGGCGACGCTCTCGCCTGAGGCCCCGCTGTTTGGCGAGCCCAGGAGTCCCTCCACTCTCTGCAGTGCCTGCCTGGGGGAGCCTCAACCCCTGGGCTTTGGGGAGGCCCACCGCCTCCAGGTTAGGGCTCTAGTTGGGGCTTTCCCTGCCATTTCTCCCCAAGACACCAATTTCTGTTTTGGAATCCTCCTTGGATCCACACTGTGTCTTGTAATTCTGAACAAGCAGCTCACCCCTTGTGCCTCAGTTTCCCATTCTGTAAAATGGGAAATAATGGTCTTTGAAAGACTGGATGGTCAGTATTGGGAGCACAGGGAGAAATGCTGAGGAAAATGACCACTTTCCTTTCCCGAGAATCGATTTTTTTTTTTTTTTTAGTTTACAGTGCTCAGAATAACCTGAGCTAAATGTTCAAAGCTGAATGACGGCTAAGTGGCTATTTACACCGAGAATATCTTTTTATACGTGTACATATATCATAATACTTTAAGGCCAACAAATCCATCAGAAAATAAGAGGCAGCAATGTCAGCACCACTTAGACGTCTTTAAAGAGAAGGGTGTGGGCTCAGGCATTTATTTCTCCAGGGAGGCAAGTGCCTCCAGCAGGATTCTCCATACTACTGAGACCCACCTGTCAGTCTAACCCCGCAGTTCCCACTCTGTCTTGGGGTCCCCTGCAATCCAGGGCTAAGCAGAGGTGTGAGGGAAGATCCCCTTGGGAAGCATTTCTGAACAATTTGAGGTGGTGTTGAGTTTTAAGGTTACTTCATTCCTCCACCCCAAGGGGATCCCCCCTGGACACCACCCTGTGTAGGGGTTGGGGGGCGGTGAGGATCCAGACCAATTATAGTTCTGAGTGCACACCAGACGCCTGTTCACTGCCTCTTAACCTTTCCCTCTCGTCAGAAGCCAAATTGAGTTAGTCTTGAGTTTTGATTTAATTCCCGAAATGGACTCATAATCTGCTTAGCATCCTTTTTCCCAAGTCATGAGTACCGAAGTGTGTGTGTGTGTGTGTGTGTGTGTGTGTGTGTTAATGAAAGAGCAGCTCTGTGGCCTCTGGAGAACCCTCACACACACACACCCATCCCAAATGTCAAAGAGCAAGAGACATCACGACCCTGGCTGCATAGTGGTATGTTGGTGATGATCAAATGACCCTGACTCATTTATTGGGCACTTGTGCTAGGCCTGAGATAGGCACTGGACATGCTTTCTCAGTGGTTCTCACAACTACCTTTCAGGTAGGTACCATTCACGTTCCCAACTTACAGATGAAGAAATTGAGACTTAGAGAGGTTAAGTAGCCTATGCTGTATCCTACATCTCTTAGTTAAATGGCAGAGCCCAGATCTGAGACTATACTGTCAGACTACAGAGCCCGCTATTAACCACTTAGCTATGTGACCCTGGGCAAGCATTTACCTTCTACATCCCCCAGTTCCCTCATTTGCCAAACATCTATAGTAGATAGGGATAATAAGACGCTCCCTTCATAGAGTCACGGTATTAATTAAGTGAGATAAGGCATTCACCATACTTACAGTAAGCATTCAATTGATTAGGTGCCCTAAAAATTCGGGTGGGGTTGAGTGAAGGAAGGGATGCAAAGCAATGTAATTAACTATGAATTGTATTATTGATAGTGTCTTTCTCATGTATGAAGAGCCTACTGGGCCCAAGCAGTCCTAGAAGGTAAAAATTGCTATACCTGTTTTACAGGTGAAAAAACTGAGTTTCAGGTAAATTAAATAAATTGCCTAAAGCCATCCTGTTAATAAGTGTGGTAGAATGGAGCTTGTTTTCAAACACTGGGCTCTTGGATTCCAAAGCCTGCTCCTCCCAGTGCCTCCAAGGGTCACCAGGGACTGTCCTCTCTTCGTGGAGGTCAGTACTGAGGTCAACAAACTCAAGTCACCCCCTGTAACACCTGTGACCTCATTTCCTCCAGGTGAGCAATGTTTTCTTAAAGAACAGAGAAAGTAAATAAAGAACCAATTAGGACAATATCTCACTCCCCCAAAGCCAGTTTAGAGCTTCTCCCACCAGTCCCCACTCTCCTCACTCTCTGGGTTCTTTAGTGCTCAAGTTTGTGACCATTAAATAGAAGAGGAGAAAGTTTGAACCAGACATGAAATATTTATCAGTTAATTACAATATGCAGATTCTGTTCTAGGGAGTGATTTATCTTTTTGGAAATACAGGAAAAGATCCTGGAAACTTGTATCCTAATTGCTTGGCCTATTATTGTAGCAACCAGGTAGAAACTCCATTTACTATATAACTACAAATTTTCCCACTACTGAAGGTAGCTGCTTCTGCCTCTTTTACTGGTGGCCTGAAGTCCACATGCTTTTCTGATGAAAGAGGGACTCCTAAGAGGCCAATTTATCCATTCCCCTGTATCTTCTTAGGGTGTGGCCCCTTTCTAAATTCCAGTAGCTTCAGGAAATGAGAAAGATGAAAATGTCCAAAATCCTGCAATCTCAAGAGAAGCTGATCTTAAATGACACGTACCCTCACTGCAGCACTGCGGGTTCCATGTTGGAAAGACTCCAAAGCTGAGTATTGTTCCTCTTCCTTTTGCTCTTCTTGTATTCCTTCCTAAACTCTGGCTGCACATTAGCATCACCTGAGAGTTTTTTAAAAAATTAGATGCCCAGACCTTACTCTATATCAATCAAATTAGAATCTCAGGAGGTAGAGCCCAGGCATCAGGGTTTTTAAAAACTCCCCCAGAGCCAGGCACTGGTGGCTCATGCCTGTAATCCTAGCTATTTGGGAGGCTGAGATCAGGAGGATCAAGGTTTAAGGCCAGCTAGAGCCACATCTCCAAAATAAACAGAGCAAAATGTACTGGAGGTGTGGTTCAAGCTGTTGAGTGCCTGCTTTGTAAGTGTGAAACCCTGAGTTCAAACCCCCAATTTCACAAAAAAAAAAAACACCTCCCCCAGAGCTTCCAATGTATAGCCAGAGTTGAGACCCTCTAGGGCTGAGAGAGAGTATGGCTTCCTGGTAAATGAGCCCTACTCATGTGCAAGACAATGTCATTTTTATCCCACTTTCTCAGGTGCTGCAAGAGACAATTCCTTAACTTTTATTGGAATCTGAAGAGCATCCCTATCTCTCTACACAAGAAGCTTCAGATATTAATAACTACCATTTATCAAGCCCCTGCTGAATGCTTGGATCTATGCAAATAAAATTTAATCTGATCTATACAACAACTTTATAAGGCCAGTGGGTATGTCCATTTTATGGATGACTCAGAGAGGTTAAGTAATTTGCCCACAGTTGTACAAACTAACAAGCATCAGATCTGGGATTTGAATCCAAAACCCACATTTTTAACCATTGTGCTACATTACCTCTTAGTTTCTCAATGCTGGAGGGAAAGAACTTCAAAGCTACCATATGAAAGGCCCAGGGAATGTCTTGGGAGAGGGAAGAGAAGAGAAGCAAGGGAAACTGTAGCATGGAGGAGAGGGTACAAGAAGATGGGGCACTGAGGAAGGAATGGTTGTGGGTGGAAGAGACTGAAGGGGGTATGAAGGATCTGGGAAGGGATGAGGCACGTGAAGTGGGGTGAGCAGAAATGTGCATGGGAACTGGCCAATTGCTGTGGAGAAAGCTGGGGGACTGTGCCCAAGAATGGGAGTTGGCAGCCAGAACACCCTGAACAGTGAGTAGTGTCCACCATGGACTGGGTAGCTGGAGAGGGGGAGGGACCTTGTGTCAGAGGAGGGGTTTTTGTGAGGCATACAACAGTGAGGAATGCCCCGCCATGAATACTAAGGGCAAGAAGAAGAGAAAGGGCTAGAGGGGGCTGGGTGATGTTTAGCTGCTGGGGTGATTAATGGGGGTGAACGGAGGGTGAAACGCAAACCCTTCTACAGAGATGGTGGGGAATGGTTGTCCAAGAACAACAGTTCACTGTTTCATTGGGAAAGCCAATGTCCAGAGGAGGGGTGGGTGAGGAAGATGCCAGGCGCAGTTGCTCCTTCCCTTTTTTTCCCAAGGTCTCTTTATTTACCATCGAACAGTACATTAAAATATACTAGCCAGCTCCAGGGAACCCTCTGGATGGGCTTTCTATTTGCCTCCTGGTTTGGGGGAGACCAAGGGATGCTGGGTAGCTAAGGGATAGAGCAGGTGAGTTTTGGGATGGACCACCCCACTGGTGGGGAGCAAATGAGTCTGTGCTGGCTGGGCCAATGGCTTCTCTCTGGACCTGATAGGCACTTGAGAGATACATGGGGCATGGGTCGCCAAATGTCCTTTGGACAGCTTAGTGTTCTCATTGATCTCTTTTTTTTTTTTTTTTTTTTTTTTTTGGCGGTACTGGGGTTTGAACTCAAGGCCTCACCTTTGCCAGGCTTGCTAGGCAGGTTCTCTACCAGCACAGGCTTTAGAGGAGCAGTCCTGGTCTCGAACAGGGAGGAAAGGCTTTTTTTTTCTATGTAAAAGAATAGAGTTGGGGGAACCAGAAGGGAGAGCTTCCCCCTGGTCCTGACTTCAGGTTGTTGATCTGGGTTCAAAGACTGGAGTACCAGGTTTGAATCAACCCCTCATTTTCTACTTCTGTCTTTCCTCTTGGTGGAGCTGTTGGGAGCTGCCTCTCCTGCCCTTGACCTCCCCATCTACATTTCCAGAGGGTAGGGCAAAAGGGACAAAGAGAATTGTATCATGAGGGGGAGGTGAACCAAAGGCAGGAATTTGGATGAATTATCTCATGGGATTGGGACAATTTTCTCCCTCTCTAGGCCTTTAGAGGTGTGAAACAACTGGCAGATTCCACTTCCCCATCCCCAGCCATCCAAGGACATGATGTGTCTTGAAGCCTGTGCCTTCCTGAGTGGTGGTGGTAAGATAAGGAAAAAGGAGTTCAGAAAAAGGGGCTAGATGTGCATTCAGGGGTCCCAGAGGCTTGAAGGAGGCTAGCTTTTCCTTATGGCAGGGGAGGCAGAACATCCCTTCCTGATCCTAGATTGCTTGAGTATTACACCTAGGGATCCTGCAACCTGGCCTTTGTTCCTGTGTCCCCACAGAGGTTGACTCCTATTGGAGTCTCACTCCTAGTACCCACTGTGTCTTTTCAGGAACCAAGCCTATGAACCACTTAGAAATCTGAAGTTAGTAGGAGGAGGTTGTGTTCAGCACAGATACTCTGTGAGGTACAGCATGATTTGAGTAGCAATGAGGCAACCATTCCACAAATGGCCCAGTTCAAGCGCTGCCTTCAAGAGGGGGCAGGCCTCAGGTTGCTTGTTACAGAGGGCAGAGGCTAACTGAGGTTGCCTTCTGCCTCACTGAGAAGAAAAACATAAATAGATCCACTAGAGAGCAATGGTCACAATCAACAGTCTTAATTATGAATTAATAATTCATAATTTTCCAGCCTTGCAGATAGGCACAAGTCCACTGAAATTATATCCCAGGGAAGAACATAGTCAGAGGGGTGGGCACAGGACTTCAGTACAGCCATTACTTCCAGAGGCCATTAAGTTCATTCCTCTGCTTCCCAACCAACACACACACACACACACACACACACACACACGCGTGGGTGCACACACACACACACACCTCTAAACACAGTGCCGCACAGCTTCTCCATTTCTCCTGAGGCCAGAGGGCCATCCCTTCAAAGTGATCTCAAAGCCTAGACTCTGGGTTTCTGGGGTCTCTGCCCCTGTTCTGCTATTTACACATGGGGTTCCCTGCAGGAGGGGCTGGTGCATCTCTGGGTGTCCCTGAGGAATCAGTTCATCTTCCTGGCTCTTCTGCCTCTTCCTTTCATGGGGATTGCCTAGGCATCTTCCAGTTGTGGTGGAAAGTTTCTCCAACTTTATGCAAGAATAGAGACAGGGAACAACCCTTGTTGTGTGCATGCCTTTCCTTCCCCATCTGGACTTGAGGAACTGGCTCTGACCCCTTACGAAGACATCTACAGGTTTGGGGGTGCAGCTCAGTGATAGGGATAGAGGGTAGAGGGCCTACTGAGCAGGAGACCCTGGGTTCCATCCCCAGCACCAACAATGCAAAAAAAAAAAAAAGAAAAGAAAGAAAAGTCATCTACAATAATGGAGGTGAGGACTGAATAGGTGTGGGGAGCTCTCTATTGCTCCCCTCCCCAATACTCATAATTCCAAATTCCCACACCAGGGGATTTAAAAATATCTTAAAGGAACCTTAAAGAGCCACTCAGCAGCCCTTCACAAATCAAGGAGATATTCTCTCTCTCTCTCTCTCCACACACACACACACACACACACACACACACACACACAGAAGAGATTCTGATTCTTCCAAATACTTAAGACCAGGAACGAAGGTGTCTTCTGGCCTTCAAGGAGATCCTGGGCTACAATCTCTGCTGTGACACTACCTTCTCCAAAATGCTAGAAGGAAGTACTGGATCGTGGATTTGGGACAGAAAGGGTTTCCAATCCCAACCCTTCAACCTTCCTTCTCTTTTATTTACGTCAAATACACTTGTCAGTCTGAACCTACAGGAAGAAGGGAGTTGGAACACTGAGACCCAGAAACACCTTTGTCCAAGTCTATGGGCACAAGGTACACTTGAAAACTCTCTTTCCAGGCAAGGTGGATGGTCAGCCAAACATCCTGCAGGCATCCACTGCCATGCGGACAATACACCTGCCCCTCACCAGCCTCTCTCCTTACGTGGAGAGACCTCTTGGGCTCAAGAGGAGGATGGCTTAGGGGTTATACCCCAGGTTATCTAATAATTAGATAACCACGAGTTGCTTTTCGAAATACTATTTCTTTGGCCTCCAAATATGAAAGACCTTTAAGACCCTTCCTTAGCTCCCTCCTATTTAGCAACACATAACCCTGAGCTACAAAAATTCCTAATTGTAGGGGGACCAAACCTTCCTGACCTACCATTCTGCCCCACCTGCAACCCCTGTCCCCTCCCCCCAAAATTTTTCTCTCCTGAGCCTCCACTCGTCTCTTTTAAAAAAAAAAAAAGCGAAGAAGAAGGAATTTTCAATAGTCCCACTTGTCAAGCGAAGACCATCTTTTAACCTTCAACAGCAGCGAAAGCCGTGTGAACTCTCGGTGAACCAAGATTGAAGTCATAAATCACGCGTACAAAGGCGGCTGCGGAGGCTGGCGCGGGCTGCTGCACCTTTAACGCTTTCTGGGGCTGACAGGCGGCGGCCCAGCTAAAGTTCACAGCGCCCGGGGAGGGCCCGCCCCCACCCCCGCCCCCGGCCCCGGCCCCGGCCCCGGCCCCCTCCCCCTCCCCCAGTCCCGGCCCGGCCCGGGCCCGCCGGGGCTGTCTGCGCGGTGCGGGGGAGGCCCCTCGGCGGGTCCCGCAAAGGAGAGGAGAGGAGGGCGTGTGCGCTCCAGCCAGCCCGGCTCCATTCGGGCCGTTCACTCCCACTCGCCCACCCCAGTCTGCTGTATTTAAATAGGCAAATCGAATCCGCACGGACACAATAATTTAGTTTGTTTTGTCTTTGGCATTTTCTACAGGACCCCAAGAAATGGACCCTTCTCCGTCCTGTCTGTAGAACTGGCATCCTTCATCTTTTTCTATACAGGCCCAATTATCCAGGTCCTTGGTATTCCAATAGTGTCTGAGTCATTGGAACTAGAACACCTGGTTGAATCACGCCATGTAATTCGATTTTCTTTTTTTCTTTACCTTTTTTTCTTTTCCTTTTCCTTTTGTTTTGTTTTAAAAACAACCGCCTTGACTGGGGTGGAGTAGCTGGGGTGGGGAACAGAAAACCATACAATCAGCCAGCTTGCAGCTCCTTGGAGAGATCTAGCTCCGCGGGACCGGACTCCTCTCCTTTCCTCGGCCTCTCGGCCTCCTCCTCCTCTGATCGTTTTTTTTCCTCCTCCCACTGTCTTCTCTTCGGTTTAATTAAAGCTCAGCGACTCCACTTGCCTCTCCTCACGTTTCTCTCCGAAAGCGGAAACCAGACGGCCCAGCGGCCACGGGCGGAGCGGCCTCAGCACAACTCCAGCCTGCCGCCAGAGGGGCCTCCCCTCGCCCACTTCCCTCCGCCGGCGACGGCCTACGGGACCCGGTCTCGGCCCCTCCGCAATCCCGCAGGTGGGAAGCCACTTGGCCTGGGGAATCAGAACCACCCAGGTCTGGGTAGGAGCCTGCTCCTCTTTCCCAGACCCCCAGTTTTCTGGACAAAGTTTGGAGGGTGGGTTCACCCTGACCCAGGCAACTTGCTCCCCCAAACCCATGACTGACTAATCTGATATGACAAAAGCCCGTGATGGATTTGTTATATGTTAATTCACAATGCCCTTTCCTCCAGAATTTAACTATAAGTTAATACACACCGGAAACCACGCGCATACACGCTCGTTAATGGGCTTAGGTATTAGCGAGTCCTAACGATGCATACAAATGCGCTCTGCGCTCTGTAGGCCCCTCAAGATTTATGGGCCTTGAGCTCTCTGAAGCTGTAAACAAGGAGAAAAAAAAGAGAAAGCGAGAGAGACTGGGGGAATAAGAGACAGAGGCCTGACTCGCCCCTCCAGATTGTGGGAGAGAAGGGATTCTTACTTGTATTTTCCTTGCCTTGCAAGGTCGGTGCGTGTGGGTTTTGGCATCGGTCTGGGGGGTGGTGTTCTGTCTGAATACTGGTGTGCGTGTGCGTGGGCGGTGTGCTGTTTGTGATGGGGTAGGAGGACGCCTGCCTCCTTTGAATTGCTGTGCAGGGGCCTGAAGGTATTCCTGGGCATAATACGTGAGTGTGTGCACTGTGTTAGGCGTGTGTGTGTGCGTGTGTGTTTGCGTGTGTGTGTCTGAGCCCCCACGCACGTGGACACGCAGGCCTCCCTCTAGGCCAGGCTGCAATCCCCTGTACCTGGTGAACAAATCTCTAACAACAATCATAATAACAATAAATGACAATAATAATGAAACAGTAGTTAAAAGTCCCTCCCTAGTAGGATAACAATAAAATGCCAGAGGAGATATTTTGAGGAAGGGGCAGAGGAGTCACCATTACAGAATCCAAGGGGAGGACAAGAAAGGCAGGAAGTTAGCTTCTTTAAATGCCCTTGGGGGCCTGGGGTTGGGAACCCCCTCCCCAGATAGGGTCCTCTTGCCAGAAAAGGGGTGGAAGAGCCAGGAGGCCACACTCCAGATTTTTTTTCCCTCTGGCTTTTGCTTTGTGCAGGCAGAAAAAGGACCCCAACATATGGGGTGTTTAAGTGACTTTGGGGGATTTCTGGGAGCCCCTGTTTTAAAGAGGAGGCCAAACGTACAGGATCAGGCCGAGGGCAGAGATGGATGAGGCACTGACCACAGTCTCCAAACGGCCATCGGGGCGGGCGCAGAGGTGCCCGGAGAGCCGCGGGACCCGAGGGAAGCAGGAAAATATTCATGGCCGCTGGGAAAGGGGAGAGCGGGAGAGCCAGGCCCCTTCTCCTGCAGGCCCAGGGCAAGTTCCCTTCCTTCCTAGAGTCTTTTCAAAAAAAAAAAAAGAAAGAAAGAAAGAAAGAAAAGAAGAAGAAGGGAGGGCTGATACGCCTTGAATTTTCTTTCCCGAGCTTGGAGCCGAGCGGATTTCCATGGAAGAATACCACAGTCGGGATTCCTGCAATGTCTACCTCATTCTCTCCAGGTACGGATTTCAGATAAATTAATTAATTTATTTGGGGGAGGTGGAGCCGGAGGTGTAGAGATACGAAATTCGCGGGAGAGGAAGCCACCCCTCAGTTTCGGGTCTAACGAAATCCCTCTTTTAAAAACAATCGCACTCACACACAACAAAAATTCAAAGTGGAAATATAAGAACACACATTAACAACTCTTTTAAAAGACAGGGAAGAAAGAAAATGACCATAACAAATGAGCGTGAGAACTTCTGAAAGATTTGTCACAAACCTTTTTAGAGGTTTGGATTCTTTTTTCAGCAGCCGGTGACTCATTTGGTCTGAAAAGAGATACGCTATCCACTGAGTCACACACAAAGATTCCAGGGAGGGCCCCGGGGGGCCTTGCATTTGAGCAACACGGGGTGGAGAACACTGCTATAGATAACCAATCGGACAAAATAGCAATGAAATAAAATAAAACTAGTCGAAGCGCTGGGCTGGGCGCGGGGCGCAGGTATTGAGTTCCAGGCGGCCGCCGGCGAGGCAGCTGCCCGGGTGATGCGCCGGCCAGGCACTAGTTGGAGACCTGGATCGCCACGGCCTCCCCAGATCCCCGGCCTCTGGGTCGTTCAAGCTCCTCTTGCAGCCAGGCCAGACTTCCCTGGTGAGAGGGTTTTGGGTCCGGAAAGCAGGCAATGTGACTCAAGCCAGCTTCTGCTTTTAAAATTTTTCTCCTTTAGGCCTCTCCACTTGCGCAGCTTTCAGCCACCGGGAGATTGACACAAGGGGCTTCTGAGCTGACACTGCCCCCCACCCACTCCTGCTTGGCTCCCCAAAGTCCAGCGACCTCCAACCCTCCTTGGGGAAAAATAACAGTACCCCTGGCACTTTAGCTCACTATCCTATGTGACCCGGCTTTCTTCAAGAAATATCTTACAAAGAAGAAAGAACAGCTTGGAGCCGTGTTTACATCTAGTTCTACTGATCCATTCACATCTGGAGAGTTTATTTATAACTCCCTCTATAACTCTCTCTGTTTGCAGGCACTGGTGGCTCTATTGACAGACTGATGTCTACAAAATATTGCTCTATCTCTAACCGTACCTAAATGTGCTGTGGTTGTATTTACAGATTTATGCCTGAAGAAAATATAATCATTTCTATTGTATTTGTGCATATACAATAGTTATAGAAGCAGATTTATATATGGGAAAATATATGACTCCCTTATAGCCATCCAGCTTTATGGACACTTGATATCCTGACAGATTTATATCTCTGAGCAGCTATATAGATAAATGTATACTGCTAGAATTATGTATCAGGAGATATATACTTATTGATTGTGATATAGAGTAGTTAGAACATTCACATAGAGCCATATATGGCTATGGAGATATTTCTATATTATTATCACTACATATAGGCATATCTATTTATAACCACAGTTATAAAAATAGACGTAAGTAATTATAGTCCTATATGTACATGCTGCTATTTCTCTCTAGAGTTATAGACACTTTTGAATATAACTCTGTAGAGATATCCGTATTTATATAAGGTGTAATTATCTCATGATGTGTGTGCATTGGGACTTGGGCCAGTCTGTTCTGAACAGACATATTTATGTGTAGGGGCTGGGAGAGACTTGTTCACAGAGATAACTGCAGAGGGACAACTGAAAAGCTCTATCTGGCCATCTAGGAAACTAGCAGAGTTCTTTACTCGAGGGGTGGAGTTACAAAAGGGCAAACAAACCTAGGAAGCACCCAGGAAGGGAGGCAAATGGAGGGCGATTGGGGCTTGGCTCAAACTGATAGATCCTGAGGAAAGGAATAAACACCCAGCACCCACCAGAACTGACTTCCTGAGGGGCTGGCACAGACAAGAGTGGCCTGGAGGCTTACAGAAGTGGGGCAGGGAATCACCTCCCCACCACAGGCACCCTCCACCTCCCAAGGGAGCAGGGAGCAGCCTTAGGTTCTGCTTTCAGTGCACTAATGTTAGCAACTGTCTTGCTTCTCCTGGTTCCTAGCATATTTCTCTACAGCCCTAATTTTTGGAATCTCAATGTGTGGGCTTTAAAGTAAAGTGGTGT